AGACACAAGAATCATCCAAAAGGACTAACAAAATCAGATGGACCATCAAGGAATATCACAATACAAAGGATTGGTTAGTGGTCCTATCGCATTTTCCTGTGAGTTTATTTCCTTCTTTCATCCTGTGGGCTTGGAAGCTGAAAGGAAATAAACTCTCAGGAAAATTTCCCACCACTTTCTTTGCTGTTTGAACTCCAAGGCCAAGATCTCTAAGTGTTGCCCCTTCGTCCATGCTGAAAGACAGTTTGAATTGACAGATCACTCCAACGGTGTCACTCTTAGGATTTAGATAACTCATTTGGACCTGCGAAAGACACTTTGAATTGACAGATCACTCCAACGGCGTCACTCTTAGGATTTAGATAACTTATTTGGACCTGTATGTGCACTTACTTTAGCCTGTAAAACACTCGTGTCTTTGTCCTTCTTAATATACTTCTATACTAGTTTATTACAGGAACAGCTAGAGGCATCTGAGACTCCATGGTAAGACTATTATAGTGATCCAGGAGTTTACATTTGTTAATGACATTGTGAAATCTAATTATAGCATTTTCCTCAGTTTGGAGCGTCTGTCCTGATTTTGACAGTCTGCCCTGAGGTAGCAGGAATTCATGGCCATGAGCCGCTGCAGACAGTGTGAAGCCTCTGGTTTCTCTACAAATTACTCTAGAAACCTATTGAATGTAATAGAGTGATGGCTATTCTACAGGGAATTTTAAGCCATGCTATAGAGTACAGTGTGCAGCTAACAAATCTACTTCCACACTCCCTTCTTTCTCTGTGTGATGAGAGCCTTCTCCCCTGCGCTAAGTTTAGAGAGAGAGAGAGACATACACCCTGGGTTAGGTTTAGAGAGAGAGAGAGACCATTTTTACAACTGGATTTGCAAGAGGGTCCTCTTCCTCATTAATCATCTCTGATATGCCAATCTCATCAGAGACATTTGTGCTCTGTAGCGCTGTTTAGCCTCAGTCTGTGGGAGAAAAGGAGTCCTTGAACCAGGCTGGGCTGTAATGAGAAACATGTAATAAAAGAGACATCTTCCTTTCTGATCTGTCCCCAGATTCATTAAGAAACTAAGGGACTGTCTCTTACTCCAGGTCTATGGCACAGTGGGGCCCCAATCTCAATAGGGTGCTATTGGAATAGAAATAGCTAATAAAATTTACTTTCATATTTAGTATGAAAAAACAACATTTTCCCTCTTTTCCTGCTTCATCAGCTTGAATCTAAAAATCTATCAAGAATCAGCTCCTTTGATCTGTAGGCACTAACGCCATAGGAAAAAAATTCGTAGGTGCTCAGCACCTACCAGCCAGAGCTGTTTGTTTTGTTGGAGCTGCTGATCAGTTGTTTGGCAGCTGGGGTGGCACTTACATGGGGTGGGGAGGGCAGAGAGCTCGGTAAGAGGGGCTGAGGCAGGAGTGAGGACAGGACTTGAGGAGAGAGGGCAGGAAGAGGCAGAACAAGGTGGAGTGTCAGGGGAGGGAGCAGAGCAGAGATGGAAAGAGATAGAGTGAGGATGGGGTTTCAGGGAAGGGATAGAGGGGCTTATTGAACCCTATAGAGCACTGAGGATGGGGTTTCAGGGAAGGGATAGAGAGGGGCTTATTGTACCCTATAGAGCACTAATCTCTTTCATGATTAAAATGCCATCCTCCCGCCCTGCAAAACACACCCATATATGCATAATGTCCCTTGAACATTTATTACATATAGCAAGCAAATAACAGAGATGATGTGGCCCATAGGAACATTTATACAGAGCCCCATACATGTGGCTTCATGTAAGGGACAGAAAAATTGAGGATAGTCAAGGAAGACATGTCAGTGAGATACACAGAGCCAGACCATTGCTTTCTACATCTCTTAGACCAGTGGTTCCCAACCTTTTTCATACCAGATCAGGAAACCCATTCGCAATCTTTTGGCAGACCGGTAACATTATTTGCACATTCATTGTGTTAATTTTAAGAGGTCAAGTGTTATTTTACATTGCATCTGTATGCACACAATACTTGTTGTCATGGATCAGTTTGCAGATATCTACAACGCTAAAAAAAATCTGTTAAAAGAATCCTTTCCTTCCTTATCTTAAGCCTATATATAGTTAACACCTATATAAACTTCATTTGAAATGTAATGCAAATGCCATGAGCTAGGCCTTTTGTTCCAGTATTCAAAAGCAGCCTAAAAGCTTTTAACCTGCCTGACATTTTGGCACTACCCTATACAGCCTGCCCCTCCCATCCCCCCAGCCCAGGAGAGGGTCCTATGTCTGCAGTCCAACCAGGCCAGCTGTGCTAAGACAGACAGTCTGCAGTCGAGGTGGGAGCAAGTTAAGACACCCAAATAAATGCTCCTCTGTCCCCATCTCACGGCATAGATGCCAGCACCCACCATCCCCATGCAATCTGCTCCCCCCCGAACGCAGCCAAGGAGAGAGTCCTAGGGCAGGGGTTCCCAAACTTTTTGACACGGGGACCAGTAAATCCATTCACGAGCTTTTGGAGGACCAGTAACATTCATTTGCATATTCATTAAGCAAATGATGAATATTCAAATAAGTTGTTTCTGGTCCTCCCAAAGCCCCCAGTGCCAGCATTAGCAAAGCTTTTGCTACAGTCACCCATAATATTCTTGCCAGCAAGTTAAGGGAATATGGATTGGATACATGAACTGTAAGATGGATAGAAAGCTGGCTAGACCAGGGGTTCCCAAACTTTTTACTTTAGTTGGAACCGGTTTTTTTTAGTACTGTTTTTTGCAGCTAAAAAATATAAATGCATTAAAAAAAAAAGAATGAAAAATGAATAAATTGTCAGTGTTTCACCCGGCTGCATCCTCCACCCAGCCTGGGCCAGGGCTTAGGGGACCCGGTGCCGCATGAGCACTCCAGGAGGAGATTGGGGGTAGAGTATCTGTCTAGGAGGGAGGGTGCAAGGAAGGGTAGGGTTGCCAGGTGTCCGGTTTTGTACCGGACAGTCTGGTATTTGAAAGTTTTGTCCGGGAAAGAAATTGAGAAATTATCAGACATATAAAATGTCCGGTATTTTCTAATTGGGTAAGTTTAATTATAATTAGGTGGATCAGTCCTTAGCTGCGAACTGCTTGGCTGGTAGATGTGCTCATGCTGCGTAAGTGTGTCTACCTGCCAGGCAGTTCGCAACTACTCGAGGGAGAGTATGGGGGGGGGCAAAATGGAATCCCCGGCCATACTCACTC